TGGTGGGAGGGGGGGTCGCTGTTTTTTGGCCTCTTTGTTGTGGTTCTTCCTATCGTAACAAATTTTTCCATGGCAGGTCCCAGGGGAGGAGCTGGAATGGCATGGGGGGTGTGGGGTAGGTGCGGGGAATGGCTTAAATGGTTTCGAGTTTTTGATCTTTTTTTTTTACGAGTTTTATTGGATTTTGCTGACTTTAAGAGGCAGTTATATGGGCTACTCTAAGCCAAGGAGATTCCCCGAAAGTTAAGAGGATATGGCGTTTATATTTATGGTTGGGTAATCGAATCGAATTGCTGGAGTTTTGATGGAATTTTTAGGTGAAAAACAGTCTTTAAAAGGCAACTTTCTTTCAAGGTTTTGCGATTGATCGGGGTCACCAGAAACATTGAGCTGCTGTCATGGCATTGTGGTGCTTCAATGATGGGTGCTGTCCTGTTTTCTTGGGAGAGCATCTTTCTACCTCGAGAGCATCTCCAATACCATTCAAAAGTCTCTGTTGCAATCCATGAAAATTTTAAGGATATTGAAGTAAACTTATGGGAAATGATTTGATAATCGAATAAAATTGTAGGTATTTCGATGCAATTTGTAGAAGAAAAACAGTCTTTAAAAGGCAACTTTCTTTAAAGGTTTTGCGATCGATCGAGGTCACCCAAAACCTTGTTCCTCTTTCATGGAATCGGTGTTACCATTGGGATGATTCTTTTGATACTTTTCTCCACCACGAGAGCATCTCTTCTACTTTTCAAAGTCTTCAGCTTTCTGAGATTGTGGTGCTCCATCAATGGGTGCTCTCCTGCTTTCGATGATTCTGTTGATACTTTTCTCTACCTCGAGAGCATATCTTATACTATTCAAAGCCTTCTTACTGTGATGGATGTGCATATTCCATGAAAGTTAAGAGGACAAAGCCTTTATATTTCGGTACTTATGGGAATTGATTTGATAATCGACTAAAATTGAAAGAATTTCGAATAAATTTGTAGGAAAGAAGTCTTTTAAAAGCAGCTCCTCTCAGAACCTTATGCCTCTATCATGGTATCGGGGTCACCATTGGGATGATTCTTTTGATGCTATCCTCTGCCTGGAGAGTATCTCCCATACCAATCCAAAGCCTTCTTCCTTCTGGGATTGGGGTCACCATCTGTGGGTACCCCCCTGCTTTCTTGGGATGCCTCTTTCGATGCTATTCTCTGCCTCGCGAGCATCTCCTCTGGCAATCCAAGGCTTCTGCTACAATACATTTCTGTGATGGATGTGGATGGCAATACTTTCAGCTATTTATGCAAAAGCAGCATGTTGTTATCAATGGGAATGGCTGGCTCTACCCTCAGCTGTGCTCTCTGCTCTGCTGCCATTCGCCGCTTTGAAGCGGGGAGGTCAACATTTAACCTTTACCTTGCCAACAGACATACATCAAAATATATAGATCAAATGCCAGCCTGCGCCTGACTTTTCAGCAGAGCCTCCTTGTGGAAATGGCAACACGTGTGTTGTTTCCAATTGGATGCATGCCCCGGAATGGTTGCCCGCGACATCTATCAGGGATATATGGAAATATCCCTGCCTACACTTATGCAAATTGAAATGCAAATAAGCCGTCCCCCAAACAGAGAGCCAGAGAGAGAGTCACTTCTTTTTATTTGTTATCCTGTTTTGTAGCCCTGTGTTTTCTATATTTCTGTATTTGTTGTGGCGCACGCTTTATTGAATTCATTTAAAAAACAATTTATCTTTTTCTTTATTTTTTTTCTGCCTGCTGCCTGCTGCTGTTTCTGGTTCTTTTTTTATACAAAAAATGCCAGTGAAAAGGTGACTTTTGAGAGCCGCAGCTGGAGATACCCTGGTAGATGGAAGATCATTTTAGCCCTGCAAAAACCTTCATACCCTCCTCGGAAAAAGCACAGGGAGAGCGAGAGGATAGCCCCAAGGATGGTTTTTGATATAAAGACTAGTTCCATGTGATTCCACTGGCCTTTTTCTTTTGTCTAACATTCCAATTAGCCCTTTGTTTCGATGTCAATGCAAAACAGAAGCAAACCCTTCGTTGAAAACGAGAAAAAAAAAAACGAAATGTTGTGCAGATTTTTACACCGTATCCTGGTGCTGGTCCTGCCTGCCCGGTCACGCTTTTAAGGATCACAATTGCCTTTTGTCCGGCCGCCCTCCTCCTGTCAATGACTAAATGTATGGGGCTCTGAAAAAGGGCTAAAAAAAAAGAAGAGCAAGAACAAATCTGGTTGGCCTTTTAACAATCTACAACTTGACTGGGAAATTCTTTGCTTTTTCCCCCATTCTGCTGTTCTGCTGTTCAGAGTTTTAGAGTGGCTGCTGCTGCTGCCTGAGACTAATGGCTAGTTAAGGTAGCACTTCTGTCTGGAGAAGCGAAACACTGCTTTAAGGCAAAGCGAAATGTTAGCAGAACTTTAATTGAACTCCTGCCGGCAAAAAAGTGGCAAAAAATCTAAGAAATGTGGGAAAAGTCCCAGAAATGTTGGAAAATTAGCAGGAAATATAGGAAATGCAGGAAAATTAGAACTTAAGAAAAGGCGTTCTATGTGGTTGAGTGTGTGAGAGGGAGAGGAGTAGGAGAGGGGAAGGCCTTGCGTAACTACTGAAATCTGATCCAGATTCGGCAATCTGCTAGATATGGGCATTCTCTATGATTCTGCGTCTTTCGTTGAATCGTATCTTTAGAATTGTGGATGCCACGCCCTTTGTGGAGGCTGTAAGGGAAATTTTTTGCAACAAACTTGATTCAGTGTGATTTTCCTGCTTGCTCTAGCTCTTATTATCTCTGAGATCTAAGCGCTCTTCAAGACAGACAGACAAGACTATATCGACTCGACTATTAAAGCTCATTAAGAATATATGTACTTTATGGGTTCGGCAATGCTTCTGTCTGGAAGCTAGTCACCATAAAGTGACTTCCAGAACTGTTTCCAGCTTCGATCCACATCTTCTGGGCACGCATCGGGATGTACCTCCTCAAGGAAGCCAAGGAAGACGAAGGCGATGATGAAGCCGCAGAGGAATCGCCTGAAACGTCTCCATCTGCAAACTTCTACTTTGTTTTTCCTTTCTTGGGACCGACTTTTAAGCTTCGCCAAAGACTGGTGGGTTCTCGGATCGTTCAGAGGCGAAGTATAGCCCAAAAGAGGAATGAAGTACCAATGCCACGAGTGCCCGTACCACGAAGCATCGAATGAAAACTAAAATAGTCTTTTTCCTGCTGCAATATCCCAGTATTTTATAGCCTTTGGCATTATACATCCAATAATACACATTTTTCCTTCACAAAATCCTTAAAACACTGCAAAATTGATTCTTTTTCTTAGAAAATGCTTAAAACTTTTAAAAATTATTGATAAAAAACACCTTCCCAGGCCCTGATTATAGATACAGTTTGTACATCGATCATTTTGGTGGAATATAAATATTTACTGCCTCAAAAAAAGTTTTATATTTTTCACAATTTTAATTTCTTTCTTAGATTTCTTCTTTCCCTAGATTTCAAATATTTCCCCTAAATTTTCTTGAAATTTAAATGCGATTTGCTTGAAAATTGAAATGCCATCACAGCCCTGGTCTAATCGCCCATTTAGGCCCGCCGCTTTTCGCCCGCTTTTCGTTTGCTTTGGGCCATTAGCCGCATGCTTTTCCGAGTGTTGCACGAATAAATCAAGGAAATTGTTTAACGCGCGATTAGCAGCATTTTGTAATAATAATTCTTGTTGTATTTTCTCTGCCACTTAGGCCCTGATATATGCAGTACATGAATACATACATATATGTACATACATATATTCCTGTTTATAGATCATTTATTTATTGCGCTTGTCGTCTGGTGATTTGTCTGTCTCTAGGCCGCTGCGGCCTGTATATGCGTTTCCCATTGTGTGGCATGTATTTTGCATAGAGCGGCCTTGTTGAAAATTTTCCAAACGATTTACAGCATACGCCGCATTGAATGATTTTTACTCTACTGCTTTCTCCCTGTTTTGTTGTACTTTTCTCGCCCTTTTTCTCTCGCCTTTTGTTGTACTCTTCCCCCCTCTTGTTGCTGCTTATTCACGCTCAAAATGCTGGGGAAAATGATTATTATGATTAATAAATAAATATGCTGCGTGCCTGCAATATTCAAGGCGTATTAACCGAAGTGTTCTAGAAGTGTTTTCCCTTTTAAAGCGGGCGAACGCTGCGTATACGCAATGTGTTACCAATAGGCGTACAATGGGCTGAAGCGAGGTATTTAGTGGCTAGAAAGGCGTGCATCCCAGTAGAAACGCCGCCAACCGATGTACGCTGCTGCATGACGCGCGATCTCCTACGAAATTTCGCTAATCTGCTTATTGATTAAACAATTTTCATAGATTTTTCTCATTAGCACAGTTTCGCACACAAAAAACTCTACCACGTTTTTTTCCGACCATTGTCTGAGCGAATAATTTTCCTGTTTTTCCCGGCATAGAAAACTCTTGGCCAACAGCTGCGCTTGATGGGCGGCCCAGCTTCAGGGCTCAAGGGCTAATGAATTATCGTCCATGCCTTGATGAACATTTAATGATGTACAATGCTCATCGATGACATTGCGACGACGTTGTCGCTGGCAATTTTAATAAATTTAACAGTTGAACGCATCGCTTCGCCCATCACAAGAGACATCGAATGGGACTTGGATGCCGCGCATCTTTCATCTTTTTATCAATGAATATGTGAGGAGGGAGGCAGGGGAGGCCTACGGGCTATATGTCTGCTGAGTGTCGATGTCAGGCAGGCAATTAAATAAATGTCCTGGCTGGTTGCCTTAACCCGTTCTGCCTCCCCGTTCTCGTCCTCCTCTGACAGCCATCAGCGTTGAATTTATGAGGCCGTCTGTGATTTATCAGTCCATTGAACACACACACACACACACAGTCCACAGTCCATCCGTTCGACACAGGACATGGCCTGAGAGAGGGGGTGGGGGGGACAGAGAGGAAGGACATCCATGCACTTACCGATAATTCGAATTGAGCTGCACATCGCCAATGGCCACGTTCTCGAACAATGTGGGACAACATGTCCATCGGGCCCAGTAGAAGGTGAAGTCAGTCGAATCGTAATGCTCGGTGAAACGGCACTTGAGCACCAGATCGACGCCTTCACGTGTATCCAGCGAATCATCGGCCCCGATCTGCTGCACCACTCCAATCATCAGACCAATCCAAAGCCAAAGTTTGCCTGCAAAAACGAGAGAACGAATTTTTTAACAATTGCATTTCATCAGGCGACATTTAATTAATACAGAAATACAGATCGAATCGAGTCCCCCCCCCAAACACACACACAGAGAGCGATTTTCCTAAACTGATTTGATTTATTTTTGTACCATTATTGCAGCACACAGACGAGGGTCTCTCTGTGGCTGGAATGAAAAATCAATACCAGCCAGAGAGCATACGCACAAATAGAGATACGTACTCGTAGAAATTGTAAATCTATACCACAAAAATGAATAATTCACATGCCACGGAAAACCCCCCTCCCCTTCCCCCTCCCCCTCACCCAAAAAAACACATGGCAGAGTGCCCAGTGGCCAGAGAATGTTGGGTGTTCTCGAAAAGCGTTTCTGCTAAATTTTAGATGGATTTTTGGAATAAAAAAGTTGTTGTTGAACAAATTTCTGGCCAAAAAAAAAGTTAAGCATGCCATAAATTTTAAAGCATGCTAAATATACCCCTGGGAGACCACAAAAAGTGTAAACTAGAGATTAAATAAAAATTTGCTATTAAAAGAACACAATTTCCAAGAGAAATTCCAGTATTTTAATACACACCCCAAAAGCATGCTACACTTTTTGGGCTAATTTTACTCCAACTCTCCAACAGTCTATAAGTTTTTATAGAAGCTCGCAAAAACCGCATGAGAAAAGTGTTTTCTAGAAATATTTATCCCCCTCCCACCCCCCGCGCACTTGCAGCTTAGTAAATACTTAAATTATTAATCCCCCATTAAGTTTCATAGTATTTGCAATAGTTTCCGAATTTCTTTTGCAGCGAAAATAATTGATATCAAATTTGTTTGCTTTCCGCTCTCTGGCTGAAAGGCAATGCAATGCAATCTCTATAGCGTTTTTATTATTGAGCCAATTGAATGAGAAAGAGTTGATTTTGGTGTGGCATTAAATTCAATTCTCTGCTCCAAGAGTATGCCATGAAAATCGTCTTAATTGCTGGCGAAATATTGGAGAAATAAGAGTTCCGTACCGCCACGGAAAACAATTCCAATCAAAAATTTTGCAGGCCAATTTGATACCCTTCATAGAGGGTGGGAGGGTATGATGCTGCACTAGTGGGCTTTAGGAAATATATCTCATGCCGCAAAAAGAAATTTTTGTTCTGAATATTTTCTTTAAAAAATTATAAAAATTACTTGATAATTTTTTAAAGGGTATCCCAGTCTTTGTTGCCCGCTAGCCCTTAAATTTCCTTCGTTTTTTGTGGATTTTTTGTAGTTGTTAAAATGAAACTTTGTGTGTGGTCGCTTTACAGTTGGAGCAGCACTGGTCAAATAAAACTAAGCACGCAGTTTAGTTGCCAAGTACCGTTAGTCCCAGTACATGTACATGTCTGTGTAAGTGTGTGTGTGTGTGGGAGTGTGTGTGTGTATACAGCTAAATGGAGCAAATGGTCGAGTGGAGTGGACCAGCAGCCATTGGGTCGAGTGGGCAGCCTTTTTGGTAGCTTGTTTGCACATCCAGCGCTTAGTTTTAATTTGTCTGCCTGCACAAGTTTTCAGTTTTTTTTCCGTGTATATATTTCTGGTTTTAATACCACTTCTCCTGCCACTCTTTTACTCCTACTCCTTCCTATGGTTTCCATTGCTTTCTCTGCTTCAATTTTCATGTATTTTGTTCAGCGCAAATCTGTTTTTTGTGTGCCACATCTACCTCCACATCTACTAGTATATATGTATATATATTTTTTGGGGATATTTTCCACTAGCTCTTCATTGTTACGCCATCCCTATCTATATAGTATTTCATGTACAAAAAACGAAAACCAGACTAAGAGCAACCAGCTTTATTGTGTTGAGATTTTTTGGTGGGCAGCGGCAGCGGCAGCAGGCGAATATTGTGTATAAAATACAAACAGCTCAATGCACTCTGCGGCTGCATTTTCAATTGATACTGAGTACTGGGCACTGGGCACTGGGCACTGGGTCCTGGTACGCATAAATTGTATACAGCATCTACCTTTTTTACCCCTATACCCCTTAATCCAACCAGGGTATACTTAATTCGTGGAGATGGAGAATCATATTAGCTCTGAAAACGAATGAACACTTGGCATTGCCAAAGACTTAGTAGGTTCCTTTTTAGATGCTGGGGGACCGATAAGTAAGTCTTTTCCGCACCTCCACAAAGACAGTGTATATTGATGTTGATTTCTAGGGACCGTCTACTGCTCCCTGATGCAATTTCTTAATATTTTTCAGTCTTTAATGGAAACTGTATACCCTGCACCTTAGTGCCGCTCCAACTGTTATTTTTTTGAGTGAATCTCCTTCCTTTTTTTCGGTTACTGTTATTGTAATTAACAGTTGCTGTTCATTTACAAAACACCAAAAAAATGGAAAAATACCACACAAAAAAATATACAAGAAAAGCACGGAAAAAGTGCCTCCCATTTGTTTACTTAAAGTTTCGTATTTTTCCCTTAAAATAATACCCTTTTGTTATGCTGGGAATTAATATATTTTTTTGTTTTTGGGTATAGGGGTACATTTGATTCATGGCTGTTTTTGTAGCCAGAAATGCGAAAATAATGTGAAAATAAATTACAACTTAATAAAATACAACATGTTTTTTGATGTAATATTTAAAGCGAAATCATTTGTAAAAAAAATGTAACTTGAAAGACTTTAAATTTAAATACAAGAAATATATTTACTCTGCCAGTTTGGGGATTTTTTTTTTCTAAAGCCAAATGCAATTTGATATCAATTTGTTTTTGCTTTTCTTTTTTTACTTTTTTTCTTTGCTTCTTTGCTTGCGTCCCAGAGGGAAAATTCTTGGAAGCGCAGAAGCAGAAACAGAAGCCAAGCTTGGGGGAAAAACATATTGTTCTTTTAATTTTTTTTTCATTTATGAATATTGATTTGTTAAAGTTTTTTTCTTGTGATTTTTCTAGAGCTGTTCTCGACGGCTGGAAATTGAAAAGTATTCCAATTCTTGACAAAAAAATGTACAACAAATAGTGCCTCCAAAACTGCGCCTAATTAGGTTTTTATGTAAATTTATTTTAAAATTTAAATACTTTAATTAGCCTAAAATCCATTTCTTTTTCACTAATATAATACATATATATTTATCTCTGCTTAACAAATCGCTAATCCACAAAACGTGCCTGCCTCTCTGTTGGATGCCCTCCAAAGCTATCTTTTCCATTGAAATTTTCCCCCCCGCTGTGCTCTAATCAAAGGAATTTTCAGTCAAAACCATCCCCCCCCCATCCCCCCTGAATGATCGATCAACGGGGGAAAAACAGGAGAAAATAGGGGCTTAAAAGCATGTTTAACATTTGCTTTGGCTACCGATTTACATAGTATTTGCCATGCAAATAATTATGAATGAATTCCGGAGGCGGAGACCCCCCTTCGCTGTGCATACCAAATGCACGGCATGCATATGGATATATACGATTTCATTTGCTTTATTTAAGTTGATTTCCGAATAAAGAGCGAGCGAGCGAGGGGGGGGGGGGGGCATTACCATGTGAAAGTCGAAAGAAAAACATTTTTTTGTCGGTTCGTTGTTGTACGAAAGTTTTTCTTACGTCAGCCAGGGGGGGGGGGGGGGGGAAATGCATTTTTGCAATTATTTAAACAAGCTTTTGCAATCTGATGGATTTTAAAATGTAAATTAACTTTGTTTGCATACAAAAAAAAAGTTTTTTTTTTTAGCTGTCGTTCCGGAGTGCCCCTCAGGATCATGTGCTCCAGAGAGTGTATTTTGTAATAATTAGCCATCATTAGAGTTTTGGGCTCAAACACACAGAAAACTTTGCCATCGTCTCTATGAATTTTTCAATTGTTTTACCAAAAAACTTCATCTACTCGAAAATTGCTTAAACATTCATAAATGCAAGTGCGCAAAGAGAGGGGGCAGAGGGGAATGAAACAGGCAGTGGATAAGAGAAGAGCCAGGAGAAGGACTTGCAAGAGGAGCCCCAAAGAGCAGCAGAGTTCGTTGGAGGTCCTTCTTCCTTCAAAGATGCTCTGCCACAAAAAACAAATAACAAATACGAGAAAATGTTTAAAAAAACACAAAACTTTTTCACTCAACTCGTTTTCTATTTTTTTTTTCTTTTTTTCCTAGAAGTCTAGTCGAAGCCCTTGGAGAGGCTCGGCTCGGCTCTGGCAGGAGCGGCTGTGTTTGTTAGAGGTCGACGACGCGTCATGTCATCTTCATAAACACAACGATAAATGGCTTCCAGGGCAAAGGGCAGGGGGCACACGCTTCCTAGCAACGACGCTGGAATGCCCTGAAGTTTATGATGAATTTTTTCCCAGGAATCCAAAGGAATTGCAATAAAAAGCATGCTCTTGGATCTTTTGCACTAATATGTTTCCCTTTTAGCAATGATTTTCTTTGAAATTTGCGCATAGTTTCTGTTTCTATTACGTTTATGGCATTAAATGATTTTCTTTTGCTTTGAGACTGTGACCATAATGCACTTTGCACTTGCAACTTCTCTTTTGCAGGACTCGCCCTTGCAACCAACTTCCACAACTTCTGCTCCTCCACAACATTTTCTGTGTGTGTGTGGGGGGGTGGGGAGGGGGAGTGGCGTTGGTGTAGTCTTCTGCTTGACTTGTTTGTAATTATTTATTTCGTATAAAGTGTGGCATACTTGTGCGCTGCATGCAGCATACTTTTGTGCGTACGGACAGGAATTATGGCATTTTTGGGCATTGTTTTTGCAGTGTTTGGTGTTGTAGTTTTGAAAAGATTTCATGGTACAGCGCCCAACGACATCAACGAGCGTACAACAAGCAGCAGAAGAAGAAAGCAACACAGGACGAGAGACAGGAGGAAGTTTTTTGTTTTGCCCAACACTGCAACTAATGTGAGAGTGTGTGTGTGTGTGTGTGTGTGTATTGTACTTAAAACAAGCTGGCCGTCTCGTTTACTTGTGGCTTGCCCTTGTTGAGACAGTAGCCCCTCTAGACCCCTCCAG